CTTATTTATCCCAGTTTAAACCTATTATTTTTTTAATACTGGCTTCATATAATATTCAGACCTGTTCATAACCAATGTCGAATCTCATCTTAAACACAATTTGTAAACCGGAAGTGTCCAATATGGTATTTCTTTAAAGGCCCGAACAAATGATAGTCATCGAACGCGAGGGTGATGTGGTTTTAGGATTCTTCGCCCACCCAAATCAAAGCACCATGTTGTTTCACCCATCTCTCCTGATTTGAATCCACAATCATCTTCACAGCCTTCATTTCCAGGAGGCGACCATGTTGTCATGTGTATCTTAGAACAAAAATTGCTAAAATTTCTTAGGTAAAACATTTAGGTTGCCAGCACATGCCGACCTTTGCTATACACAGTTGAAGATCTCTTCCAAACAAGGACTTGAGGAAGAACTAAAGAGAAACTGGGACGTTATGCTGCAGTACTAGACAAACTTTGGTAAAGAGAGAGAAAAGTATTTTGAAGAAAAATAAAATAGTATATGCACACATTCTCAAAGAAAGTGTTGAGTTTTTTAAATATATAAAAGATTACAGACTGGCATCGCAAAAGTCAATAGAACCTCAGAGTAAACATTGAGCCTGTGGCCTACACACTTAATAATACATGTAAACAATTTCTACCTCTGTTGCCGAACCCGGACCATCACTATAGGCAGTCAGGCAGCATTATCCACAAGACCACGATGGGCTTAAAAATTATAGCCACTTATTAATCTCTTGTAACTCAAGGTGCCCCGCCCTCCACTGTGGGCGGGGAACCCAGTCCCCACTCGGGTTCCGGACAGCTTTTGATTAAGTTCCCAAAACACCGGTGTTGTCAATACACAAGAGCGGATCCAGAGGGTCCTGGGGGTCCGGATCCCCCCCCCCCTTTTCACCAGAAAATTTCAGTACCTTTTCTTTAATGCAGTATTATACTCAGGCATTTTTGTAAAGTAAAAAGTATCCCCTAATATCAAGTGCGCATGGCCTCAAAATGGCCAAGATGTTGGTAAGTTTTCAAAACAATTTCTGGGGAGCTTACAGCGCCCCCCCCCTCCCCCACCCTCAAATACCCCCAGCTGGATGGGTTCATTACGCTCGCCATGTTCCCCCACCCACAACTTATTGGACCCCCCCTCCCCTTTGGATATTCCTGGAACCGCCCCCTGAAATATCAGAACTTGTTATTTACGGGTTGTACTGCTGAAACTATCTCCCAGCCTCTCATAGTCTAAGCACAATGTAATGCTTGTTGAATCTATAAAAAAAATCACTATTATTCCTGTAGACATACTATTACTGATTAGAGACCAAATTTAAGCCAAAGTAAAAGACCCTCCTGGAAATAAGCACCTGACAGCTTTGTCAGCTTTCCTTTGTCAAGTTGCCTTACTCTTGTTTTTGTTATAATGTTATTACTGCGTTTCAACAACGAAGGTCTTTAAGCGCGTAGCAAGGTGAGTAATACACTAGTTCAACAACATTAAATACTTTGAGAGATAGAACTCAGTAACCATTGTTGTTTACCTACACTGTCAAGGCACCGTATACCTACATCAGTGCCGGATTTAGACCTGTGGAGGCCCATGGGCAGCCTCTTTGTGGAGGCCCCCCTCATTATAACTACCCAAGAGGGTGGGGTGGCGAGTGAAGCGAGTCTAAACATCTGGGAGTTCAGGGGGGCGCTGTAAGCCCCCCGGGAAAATTTTGAAATTTGAACACTTCTTTGGAGAATTTTGAAACCATATGCAGTTATATTGAGGAAATTAGAACATTGAGAAATTTTTAATTAACTGTATATTTATTGGTAGTGTACAAATTACCATGAATTTTAAAGAATGAAAATAAAAGTAATCCAAATGAATAAACAAATAAATAAAATATTGTAATATGTGGAGGCCCCCAGATTGTGGAAGCCCCTGGGCAGCTGCCCACTTTGCCCACTCCTGACTCCAGCCCTGACCTACATAGTTTATAGTCAAGTTGTATAAATGTATAATTTTTTTATTTTTTTTTTATTGGGCACCCCCCCTACATCCTTGTGTAACGTGAAGCGCAGAAGCGTTTACAGCGCCCAACAGGGAATCATGCTAAGTTCATGCTTGCCTTTTTGTCTCATGAGTTAAGGACGTAGAAGCCTGAAGAGTCGTTTTTTTTAGTTTAACAAATTTATTGGCAAAGCTTGTAGTACAGTTTGCCTATTCTGAGTAATTCAGTCAGGTCTTGACACTGAGGGTGGTATCACTTCTCACTGCCACGCAGGACAGAGGTTCATACACAAAGAAATACATCATATTCATTAACAGCTATAAATGTATAGAGGTCAGATTCATGTGGGTAATGTCACTGTTCACTGCCATGCAGGACAGAGGTTCGTACACAAAGAGATGCATCATATTCATTGACAGTACTTATACATACAGTATATGTACACACACACACACATACACATATATATATACATATATACATATATACATATACATATACATATATATACATGCATACATACATACATATATACATACACATACATAAAAACATATACGTAGGTCAGATTCATGTGGGTAATGTCACTCTTCATTGCCATACAGGACAGAGGTTCGTACACAAAGAAGGAAATACATCATATTCTTTAGCAGTATATATAGGTCAGTGGATCACATACATTGGAGTCATTTTCTAATTGAAGACTAATCAGTGTGGGCTAGCAAATTTGGGATAAACAGTAAGAATGTCCTCAAGCACCCCTGATTCACTGTAGTAATTACAAAGTTCATGATACAATAAGCCAGGTGGCCTGAAGTCTTTGACAGTGTCACATTCAATAATATAGTGTTCAAGTGTATGCTTTAAAGGTTTATCGCAAAGTTTACATGCTGAGTGTTCCGGTATGGGTACAGCGTTACTAACTTGCCAGATGTGTCTGTAGTTAGCCTAACTCTGGCCACGACTACATCACATTGTCTGGTTCTGTCCTTATGCTGGCCATACCGGTACCTCTCATCACAAAATTTGTCATATTTACTAATGCTACAACTGCCAGGTCTCTCTGCATTTCTCAGTTCTTCAAGATCAGAGTTCATGATTCCGACTCGAATGTTTTAATTACAGCAGTGGACAGGCCAAGGTCACGTTCAACATTTTCTTTCTTACATGCCTCATTGGCCATCCTATCAGCACGGTCATGATACCAAATTCCAACATGGGACGGAATCCACACAAATTCGATACAATAGTTGTTCTCATTGGCAGTTGTCACATTTCTTTTAATATCACATACAACTTCAGACATAGAACCTGACGGGATGTTCATTGATTTCAAAGCACTTTGAGAGTCAGAATATCACCCTGTGGGGTACGTGATGTGAAAGGAAACTCACAATGTGTTCTCTGTATACATGTTGTATTGGATGTACAATGCAGCTTGGTGCCGGGAAGTGGCAGCGTGGTTACAAGCGTGATGTAGAGAGAGCTGGTTGGTGAGGGTGCTCAGAGGAGGACAGCTTGTGGGTCGCCATGCTCGCCGGCGGGAGCGAGGACCGCCAGGCAGGAGTAGGAGGAGGAGGTGTTGCTGGCTGGTTGGTGTAGGTAGTAAGAGAGTGGTCGGTACGGCACGGTTTCATTAGTTATGAGGTGAAAGAAGATTATTAGGGGTTGAAGGAAAAGTGGTGAAACTGAAATACAGTAGGAGTAGAAAGAATCTGGGCTCAACCAGATCGCTTCATCTTTCCGATTGGTGTTTTATCTTTGTTCTGCTCCCTTGGGTCGTCAGACCTTTGTATTAATATTGGTTTATTTATATAGTGCTGCTTATTATTATTATTTTGATTTATTGCTGGAGTTAGTGAGCCCGCCCAGGTCCTTGTGTAACTGGGAGGGTAGTCACATCTTTTTTTTTTCTTTTTTTTTGCTAAGGTGTTAGTTAAGTGTTAAGTACCTTTAGACTCTAAAGGTACACTGTATGGAGAGGCCTGCCAGGTTCTTAGTGGAGCTGGTAGGTCACTCTCATCTTTTATTCTCTCTATTAATGTTTTATGTGTATATTGGGGCAGGAGATGGTTCAATTGCTTTCTTCCTGGCTGATTTAAACCAACTGTGTTCTTGGACTTCTTCGTTGTCTATATTATTTACCCAGTTTTGGTATGTTTCTGTGTTAAGTTCAGTCACTTTTTTTCCAAATATTTGCAGCTTTGTTGTGTATTTCTACATTGATTGCTAGGAAGTTTGCTCTCTTGTGTAGCTGTTCATTATTGATGTGGTCTGTATATTTTATGTTATATATAAATCTGAGGGCTATATTTTGTACTGTTTGTAACCACGAGGTCAGGTCTTATATAGCGGAGGTAGGCGTGGCTTAATAGTTGACCTCCGTCATGTAAGGCGGCGCTGGTTGACCTAGACCACGAGGCATACACTGGGGAATTCGCGGGGTAGGCTACTCAGCGACAAACAGCGTTTGTAGGGGAGGTATCCACTACAACCCCACCTCCAGTCAAGGGCATAGAAACCTGAAGTGTCAATGGTTTATGTCATCAAGTTATTGGAAGCTCCAACAACTTGTCCCTGAATACGAATTCGCAACTTCCGATTTACACCAGGTACCTACTTTACTACCTACTTTACTGCTAGGTGAACAGGGACTATTGGGGGCTAGGAAGAGTGTCCAAACAACTTCCACCGGCCCAGGAATCGAACCCAGCTGGCCAAAAGACAGTGTTTATTGCGTCATCTGCTGTGTTTATTTCCGTTTTCTGTGGTGAAACAATTAAATGTAGGAACAACACGGGAGAATGTCTTATATATGGTAGTTGTAACAAAGAAATTTTAGGTTAATATTCAAATAGCAGAAAACTTTTAATTACATTATGTATTTTCAATGTAGAATCTCAGCCATTGTTACCAACTAGTGCGAATAAGACATTTTTCTCCGTCCCTCATACATTATGGAGCAGTTGCTGGGTGTCACCATGTATATATCTGGCTCCTGCCTTAACTGACGCCCCACTCTCACTCCAGACATCTTCGAGGTTACACGTACAGAACTTCCCTCAATTATATCTGACTGTGTGCAGCTTTTACGATCTACACAAGCAAAATAGAGCTATTGTTTAGTGGTCACATTAATGGTTTACCATGGTGGTTTCGACTATATCTGAAGATGTACAAATCTCAGTTCGCGTGAACGAGATTTATTACTCGGACTATTCTGATACGCGGGTTAGGTGAGACATTGCAGCACCTTTCTTCTGAGTTTGTGTATAAAACATTGTGATAAAGCCCAGATATTTGAGAGACATAGTGGCCACCAGGAAAGAAGAATCTCCAAGGGTGAATACAGGCAGATCATCAAATGCCAAGTGAAAAGTCTAAACAGAAAGATCGTGTTTTGGTTTTGAAAACTGAAGAGATGGCTCGACTAGATGCGATTACTATGGTAAGTATTTCTGTTTGGAGTAAGGAGAAACATTTTATGGTAATTGTAAAGTTGCCTATAATTCTAATCTCGATGTTTTGTTTTTTTTTGTTTTTTTAACCAGAGAACAGTACTGTACATGGGGCTGGGCGGTGAACACTGTTGGTATGATCCAGATTTATGACAGCTGAGGAAGCAAAGTAAATCCACCGTATGTATGTTAAACCTCTCCTAAAGTTATAAAATATTTTAATATTAGGCATGATTAGATGGTGTGGTTGAAAATGCAAATTTGCCGATGATGTGATCAGCTGATGTAGTGTTATTGTTCATTCAAGCTGATAAAAAATACCGGTCCGACTAATTACCCAAATGTAGCCGCAATGAAGTCAAATAATGGTCCTACATGAATAAATCGGACTGCCAATTACTTCTCGACTAGTATTTGGTGTCACAAAGTCACAAAAAATTGGAAAACTTACTTTAATCTGAGTTAATAGATCGCGTGCATGTACCGAGGGAGCGAGGAATTACCCAAATGTACCTAAATGTAGCCGCAATGAAGTCAAATGATGGTCGTACAAGCGTAAATCGGGCTGTGAATCACTTCTCGATTATTATGTGGTGTCATAAAGTCACAAAAAATTGGTAAACTTAATTTAATCTGAGTTGTGTTGTGTTAGGTTAGGTTAGAACATAAGAAAATAAGGAGTCTGCAATAGGCCGGTTGGCCTGTGCATGGCAGCTCCTGTCGAGAGTTACTACCACTCTCTATCATCCATGAATCTATGTAGCCTCCTTTTGAAACTTTCCAGAGTTCCCGCACTTACTACAAAGTTGCTAAGCTTGTTCCACTCGTCCACCACCCTATTTGTGAACCAGTTTCTTCCTATCTCCCTCCTAACCCTAAACTTATCCAACTTGAATCCGTTGCTCCGAGTCCTATCCTGCTCGGATATTATAAGAACTTTATCTATATCCCCTTTATTTATTCCTTTCACCCACTTAAATACTTCTATCATATCTCCCCGCACTCTTCGTCTTTCTAGGAATGCAAGTAAAGTTTCTTTAACCTATCCTGATATGGAAGGTTTCTAAGTCTCGGAATCATTTTTGTCATTCTTCGCTGCACCGACTCTAGTGAATTGATATCCATTCTATAATAAGGGCACCAGAACTGAACCGCATAATCGAGTGCGGCCTGACTAGCGCAAGATATAGTTGCAATAAGACCTCTGCACTCTTGTTACTTACACTTCTAGATATAAAACCCAATACTCTGTTTGCCTTATTTCGAACATTAACGCACTGTTTTCTAGGCCGTAGGTCCGGGCTTACAAGTAACCCTAGGTCTCTTTCACAAGTCGACTTCTCTAGGTTGATGTTGTTAAGGCTGTATACATTATAAGTATTTGTTCTTCCAATATTAAGTACGCTGCACTTGCTGGTGTTGAATTTCATTTGCCATTTTTCAGACCACCCCTGCAATTTATTTAGATCCTCCTGTAATGCATTTGCATCCTGCCCTGAATTAATTTGCCACCCTATTTTGGTGTCATCCGCAAACTTGCTTATGTCACTGCTGATCCCAGTATCTAGATCGTTTATGTAGATTATGAACAAGAGTGGGCCTAGTACTGACCCCTGGGGAACCCCACTGGTTACATGGCCCCACTCAGATTTAACACCATCTACGCTGACCCTCTGCGTTCTATCGGTGAGCCATGATTTTATCCAATTTAAAACTTTCCCCTTGATACCATGAGCCTTAATTTTTCTCAGAAGCCTCTGATGCGGTACTCTGTCAAATGCTTTGCTAAAGTCTAAGTAAATAACATCATAATTTTCGTCATTATCTACTACCTCGAAGACTTTCCTAAAAAACGTTAGCAGATTTGTTAGACAAGATTTTCCCTTTGTAAACCCATGTTGAGAGTCGTAGATTAATTTGCTTTTCTCTAGATGCGATCGGATGCTATCTGCTATAATTGATTCAAGAAATTTCCCCACTACTGACGCCAAACTGATCGGCCGGTAATTTGACGCTGATGCTCTGTCTCCCTTTTTGAATATGGGTACTACATTTGCCTGTTTCCACAAGTCTGGCACAACTCGAGTGTCTAATGATTCTGTAAATAGTTTACGAGGGGTCTGCTAATCTGTTCCCTACACTCTTTCAAGACTCGAGGGAAAATTTTATCCGGCCCTGGGGATTTTGTTTTCTTTAGTTTATTTATCTTCTTAAGAACATCCTCTTTTCTGATAGTGATATTCTTTAATTTCTCTTCTTCCTTTCCCTTAAATATCAGTTCCACCTCTGGAATTTCATCGCAAATTTCTTCTGTGAAAACTGATAAGAAGTAGCTGTTCAATGCTTTGCTTATTTCTTCACTGCCATTTATCATTTCTCCCCTCCCTGACTTTAAAGGCCCAACTTTGTCCTTGACCTTTGTCCTATATACCTGGAATTAAATTACGTTTTCCAATTTTTTTTTACTTTGTGACATTATGACACCAAATAATAATCGAGAAGTGATTCACAGCCCGATTTACGCTTGTAGGACCATCATTTGACTTCATTGCACTACGTTTGGGTACATATGGGAAATTACTCGCTCCCTCGGTACAAGCACGCAATCTATTAATTCAGTTTAAATTAAGTTTTCCAATTTTTTGTGACTGTGACACCAAATACTAGCCGAGAAGTGATTGGTAACCCAATTTATTCATTTAGGACCATTATTTGACTTCATTGCGGCTACATTTGGGTACATTTGGGTAATTAGTACAGGACCTTACACTGTCCTCGGGAATAACTCCCTCTACCCTGTTCTGAAAAATCTTTTAACACATTTATTTTCGGTCCAACGAATTGCCCAAATGTACCCAAAAGTATATTAAATCAGGGTAAAATCTTAACGAATATATGTTTTACATCAATAAAACCTGATTAATAATGTTTTCATTGAAATATTGTCAAAATAATGAAATAATAAACAGCGAAAAATGTTAAATTCCAAAGAGTCACCTATCCAAAATAGAGATATAATTACAGATGTTTCTGTTAATTTGGGGTATTTAACATAGCCGTAGGATTTACTTTTCGTTAGGTTAGCAAACTGCATCACGATGGATCTGAATTATCTCCCTTATTCACGAACTCTTTGGAATTTAGTGTTCGCCAATACTGAAAGTTTTTCGCTGTTTATTATTTCATCTTACAAATTATTTGTAAAAAATTACGTAAAAATATTATTAAACATGTTTTGTGTATGTAAAACAGATATTCATTAAGATTTTACCCTTATTTGCTATACTTTTGGGTAATTCGTGGCTCCCTTTATTTTGGTTACCTCTCAAAATTAGGCATTACCATTTTTTCTTTTTCAATGCAAGTTAACCACATAAGACAAAGGAAGTGGCTATTAAACCGAGTCACCCGGTAAAATAGCTTACAGAAGGTTTATTGTTTGGGTAAATTTTTACTTAGCACAACCAGAATATTTTTGTTGCACAATTTGTTTCTCCGATAGTTTAGACAATTCTATGACATTTCCCATGCAAATGACCTTAAAATTACCCAACTGTAAGGGCTCTGGACCTCCTCAGAAAAATGTCTTAGAATTGTCTAAACTGTTGATTGCAATGATAAAATTCCTAAGATTCCATGGTTGCGTGAAAATAAAATAATACCATTGTTTTAATCAACGATATGCCTAAACTAACCTAACCTTACTAAAGAGTCGGGTTGGGTGGTAAAATAGTTCGAGGCCCATTGAGTCAGATCACCTGGTTAGGTTAGGTATATCGTCGATAAAACAATAAACAACTCTGATAAATACAACTGCAGGCTATTTTACCAGGTGACCCGGCTCAATAATCCTTGAGCTATTTTGCCTGCATATTAAGTTAGGTTAGGTAAGATGGTACTTTTGTATTGATTACAAATAATTACAGAATTTTTAACTTTACCAGTCATAAGAACATTAACCTAATTGGGTGTTAAACTCTCATGTTTGTCAATGTATTGCTTTTAAACCCAGATTTCATCCATGTAGAATATTCAAGTGGTTTCTCTTGCGATTGGCTCTGACCTGTGTTTTGAGACGATTCGTTTAAAAAAAAACTTTACGGAAACACTGTATACAATGGGTTAATGCATTTATAACAGGGAAAACCTGGAAACAAGTACTGTATTCCTGCTATCTCCCCTTGATTACTGGGAAGCGGGAGGAGGGCATCATTGATAATATTGTACTACTTGTGTTATGTTTATTTGATTGGACTAATGTAATTTATTTTATTTTTTTTATCTATCACAGTGTATGGACTTGTATTGTGATTAAGGATATTTAACACATTTCAAAATGGCAAGTGTCTATTCCTGATTTATAAAACATTGATTAACGAATTATAAACAGTTCACAACTTCTCAAATTTACTACCTGACACATTAAAAAATAATAAAATATTGTGTTGCCACTGTTGGTCATGTTAACAGATCTAGCTGTGAGACCTCTGGTGACAACTAAAAAACATAGTAATGGGTGGGGAAAATATATACAGTATGCCGTGACTGTTAAACCGACACCGGTTAAATAGCCTGGTAGTCTACACAGTTGGGATGGCTACATGGACATCCAGGCTATTCAACTGTGAACCCATAAACATATTAATAACTGTGTATCTGTGACTAGATCTATGTACATTTTAAAAACAGCTTTTATTAGTGGTTTAAAGTGTGCTGTATCTTTATTCTCTTATATTGTGTTGTGTTTCTGTTATCCTTTTTTTTCTTTTCTTTTTTTACGGGCATTAGCCTACATGGGCACAGGTCATTTTATAATGACCCACATCAAGGCCTCGGAGGCATACATATAACACAATAATAATTAATAAAAACAATTATAATAAATTAAAATGTTAATAATACTAATAAAAATGAATATAAAATAAAAAAATGGCCATAAATAATACAATTTAAAATCAAACAAACAATACAGTCATGAGAAATGATTTAT